TTGGCGGTTTTACATTTATGACTCTTGATTAAGTGATTCTGACTCCTTCACAGCTGCCTTCTAGGAGAAAAATTTAGAAATTTTCAAGACACCAGAAAGTAAAGAGCATAAGATTTGAAGCATACTCAAGAGTTTCAGGAAGGACCACATATTCATAACTGACTAGCAGCAAATGCTAGCTGAGGAAGCTGGAAAGTGAGAAGCTGTGATGTTGGGGAATTTGCCAAAAGGGGGAAAAAAGCACTTAGAGAAGAGACCTGACTTTGCATAGTCTGCACAGAATTCAAGACAGGAGAGAGAATCCAAGTTAGAATCTGATATTTTAAAAATAGGAATGGAAGTGCAGACCCAAGATCCTACAAGGGGTAAAACACTCATCAAAAGATGCTGTGCCGACAACCAAAAAGTGGATGAAGGGAGACGTCGGACAGGGCAAGATATGACAAAATACCCATTTATAAACTATCAAGGGCTCATGCGAGAGGGGGGAGCGGGGAGGGAGGGGAAAAAGGAGGACCTAATGTCGGGGGTTTAAATGGAGAGAAAATGTTTTGAGAAACGATGTACAAATGCGCTTTACACAATTGATGTGTGTATGGATTGGGATAACAGTTGTATGAGCCCCTAATAAAATGTTAAAAAAAAAAAAGATGCTGTGCCATCCTAGGCCTGGCAGATGCTCGACAGGTCGTGCTGAAATACACTGTCCCCGACTACACTAGTCCTCTGGAGTTTTTCACTTCCCTTAAGCGGAGACGAGGGCTGCACCAAAAAGGTGGCAGCCCAGACGTGGAAAGTGCTGCCAAGCTGCTGTGGTCAGAGTGGACAGGGGCCTTGTGCTACTATAGCCAGCCCCCACCGTCCTGGGCCTGCCCTCCCCACTTGGCCGAGCGGACAGTGGCATCTATGAAACTGGGCTTTGATGGGGAAGAGCTGCGCAGGAACAACGCGCACAGCATACAAGCCATCAGAGGATCTCGCCTGGCCGCTAGCCTCTTTTTCCAGTCCTGGGGTCTGACCAACGGGATCACGGAGGAAAAGGACATACCCGAGGATGTGCCAAGACAGATCGTGAAGGAGGAGGACAAGGACGACCCTGACTGCCACCAAGAGGGTGTTGATGGTGAAGAAGCAGAAGAAAAGAGCCCAGCCGCATGTCCTGCAGGAGGAGGGGCACTGGCCACGGAGCCTCCAGCAGGTGGACAGGTTGGTGACCGAGCAGCAGCACAACCACTCAACTCGGATTAGCCGACAGGAGGGGAAGCCGACGACTATGACTTCAGCACGGACTACGTGTGAGGCAACCTTGTCGTGTCCTTTGTCCTCTCTAGGGGCTTCTCTTAGCTAAACACTTGACACTGTAGCCGTGCATCCGTGTGCAATAGCTGTAAATGTTGTAAGTATGCAGTATGTGATACGTCATTAAAATTGGATTCTAAAAAAAAAAAAGATGCTGTGCCAGTACCTCCGGTAGTTTAGGAACTCGGTGAAGTTTCTCCAGGAACCCAGCCCAAGCCTTCTTCCATGAGCTGTCCTGTGGCTCCCACACTGGCCGTGGGGGTCACAAACGTCATCATTTACCTAACTCGCCTCTCCAGCCACACAAATAACTGATGCCACCTCTGATCCTCTTTGGTTTTCGTGGATGTTGTGCTCCAAACAAACATTTAGAAACTCCTTCCCTTCCAAACTTCACACAATATGTCTCTCCATGGATGGATATGCACCCAACCTTAACAAGGACTTCTGAGGGGAGGACAATGAGACGGAGGAGACAGGTGAGGAGAATTTACACTTTTAACTCAGTAATTGTTTGTTTATGATTTTGCAATGGACCTAATTCATGTATGATCTTTGTAATAAAAAACGAAAAAGGATGTAGGAGAAATGAAGATTTTATTCTTTGTATTGTTTAATGTTTTTTTACAGCAAGTTTGTATGATTTTCCCAATAAAGACACGTTGGTATTGGATCGTGTGGTGATTATACACAAAGCCTGTGAAACAGATGTCCCACCAACCACATTCTTTCAACTCTCAACTTTTTTAGTGTCCTCATTTGTACAATGGGTATACTATTAAGCTATATTTTATAAACCATGGATCTTCATATGGATCTTAAGGGTTGTGTTTTGCTTGTTTCTTTAATGCATGGCATCTTGCCCCAAGGCATAGTATAGTACTTTCAATCACCTGAAATGCATATGAAAGCTGGACAATGAATTCAGAAGACCAGAGAGGAATTGATGCATTGAATTTGGGAGCTGGCAAAAAATAATGCAATTACCATGGAATGCCAGGGGAACAAATAAATCTGTCTTGGAAGAAGTACAACCAGAATGCTCCTTAGAAAGGAGTATAGTGAAACTTTGTCTCATGTGACACTTTGGACATGTGATCAGGAGAAAGACCAGTTCCTGAAAAGGACATCCTGCTTGACAAAGTGGACCAACCTATCAACCAATTGCCATTTTTTCAGAATCGTAGAACTGTCCCCATGAGTTTCTGAGGCTGCAAATATTTGCAAGAGCAGAAAGCCTCATCTTTCTTCCTGGACACTGCTGGTGGGTTCGAACTGCTGATCATGCCTCATAACCCATTACCCCACAAGGGCTCCTTCTGGGAGATAGCGTGATTAAATTGCTCTGCTTATAGATTTTTAGGGCAAATAGTGCCATTATTTTTTTCCCAAGGTTTTTTTTTTAACATTTTATTTTATTTTTAGGATTTAAAACATCTATTTTGGGCAGTACACAATTGAATCCATAATACCTCCACAAAGTGTCTGTTTAAAAAAGGTAATTCTACTGAATATGGAATATCTGAAAATCACAGGACAAAAAATTAATAAACCATTACTTCATATTTATGGTTTTAGAGTCAAACCCAATAGGACAAACTAGAGTTGCCCAACAGGATTCCCAAGGCTTTAAATCTTTTTTTAAGTTTTTTATCTCATATTCATTCTCACTATTCAAAACATGTCATAGTTGGAAATCCAAATAAGATATAGGAATTCCATACATACAGAAACAGCTAGAATAAAATAAAAAGACTTCTTTCCCTTCTATGCATCATTTTCTGTTTCTTAGCTGGCTATGAGAATAAGTGAAAATCTCTTTAATACACTTTATATGAGGGGAAGGTGGGGGAGAAAGGGGGAACCAATCACAAGGATGTACATATAACACCCTCCCTGGGGGACAGACAACAGAAAAGTGGGTGAAGGGAGACATCGAGCAGTGTAAGACATGACAAAATAATAATTTATAAATTATCAATGGTTCCTGAGGGACCGAGGGGGGAAATGAGGGGCTGATACCCAGGGCTCAAGTAGAAAAAAAATGTTTTGAGAATGATGATGGCAACAAATGTACAATTGTGTTCGACACAATGGATGGATGTGTGGATTGTGATAAGAGCTGTATGAGCCCCCAATAAAGCGATTTAAAGAAATACATTTTATATAGAGTATTTCCCTGCTACATAGTAAACAAGGAACAAGGGTGGGGGGAGCCCTGCCTCTCCTGTAGGGCATGAGACAGTTCAACACTAACGTGTCGAATCTCTAAAATTACCAGGGCTCTGCAGCCTCCACAGTCAGTCGGAGTCATTAAAGGCCGAGAATCTGTAAAGGAAACTGAGAAGGTATTTGTTGTGCCCTTGAAGTTAACCCCACCTCCTTCAACTGAAAACCTTGGTGATTTCCACCATCAGCTACCTCTTCCCACCCACCTGGTCTGCTTCCTCTTTTCACTGTTCCACAAGAACATTGGTGAGGGCCCTGGCTTGCCACGTAATGACTCAAAAAGCAAAACAAAACAAAACACCTCGCTGCCATCGAGTTGATGCCAACTCATAGTGACCCTGCAGAACCGGGTAGATCTGCCCCTGTAAGTTCAGTCTTTTCCCCAAGGATCAGCTGGTGGTTTTGAACTGCTAGCCTTGCAGACCACAGCCCAACACAACACCACTGTGCCACCGAGGCACACACTGAGGCAGCTCTTTATGTTCTCTAGACTGTGGGCTTGCTTAGTGAGCCCACATTTCATTCTCATACTTTTATAGTCGATAGGTTTAATGTTCTAGACTGGGCCCAGAGGCCATAGAGTCCCAACAAAAAATTCAAACCTGAATTGCCACTGTTTATCTTCCAAGTGTCTAGAGAGCTTCCAAGTCTCTTCGAAGTGACTCCAAAGTGTCTAACGTGCCTTGGCCTTTGCATTCCCTCCCCATAAAATGGTGCAATTCGAGCTCATTACACCATCCATTCCATTTACCCAGTGCCTACTACCTGCTAGGTACCATTCCAGTGTGGTTAATAAAGAGAATACTACCGGTAGTAAAGGGCTCTGACAACTCTGCTGCGATTACTAACTAGTCTTCTCCACAAACCACCAGTGCAAAAAGAATTACCTAAACAGCAGAAGGAAGAGCGTCTTGACCCAGAGCTTTACAAAAAGAAAATTCTCCTTGAAGAGATTCAGGAAGCAAGAAGGTCCGGATTCATTCTGGGTGCTTCTCTGAGCAATCCTCAGGAGGTCTGAGGTCTCTGGGATTCTTTTCTTGGCCGGGAAATCTGAAAACACTGTCGTTCTAGTTCTGCCCAGTACTCTTCCTCCTCCATCACCACGCTCAATCTTTCAGCACTTCAGTGTTGTCGAATAAAATCGACAGGGAACAAACGGTAGGCGCGTCACTTAGCATCTCCTCCCAAAGCTCAGAGGCTGGATGGAGAAAGAAGCTTCCAGCTCAGAGCCTTCGGAGGGGCAGCCCGTGACCCAAGCTCAGCCAGACGCGCCAGATGGCAGGGCTCGATCTCGCGGAGAAGCAAGATCACGAGATTTCAGCGAAAACGAAACGGACCGCGGGGGAAAGTCCCTCTGGCTAACCCGAGCTGGCGCTGCGCGCTAGGCAACCGGTGACGGCCCCGCGCGTCGGGCCCTGATTGGCCGGGCGCGCGGCGAATATAAGTGAGCGCGCCCGGGCGGGCGGGCACTTCGGTGTCACTCGCGCCGCGGTGCTGGTGGGACGTCGCTATGGATCTCTTCGTGGCCTTGGCCCTGGTGGCTCTCTTCTCCCTACCCAGCCTGGATGCCGTGGAGCGTGAGTGTCCTCTCCGCATCTCCTCTTCCTTGCCGCCTCCCCCTCGGGCCTCCCGGCCGGGCACTAGTCCCGGGATGGGGAAATGACCCGAGGCAGGGGAGGGAGAAGGGGGTGCGCGCCCCGGGGCGCACGCCTCTCGCCCCCTTCGCGGACAGTGGAAGGGAGCCCGGCCGGCCAGAGCTGGGCGAGGCTGGACCAAGTGTCGGGGTGCTGAGAAACTTCAGCGCGGGGGAGGGGGAAGGCGGGGAGGGTTTCTCTTTCGCTTCCGCGAGGAGCCCTAGCTCCCGGGGCGCAGCTGCAAGCGGGGAGGGGGGCGCGGCGTGTAGTTAGATTGTCCCCCAAGGCGCGGGGCTGGGGGTTGACTGTGATTGAGAGACAGGTGTTTGGGGTTTTGAGGAGCTCTGCTGAGCGGCCCCCCTTCCCCAGCGCTCGGTGCTGCTCCTAACACTTGTCCCATCATTTCCTCTTTTACCCGTTTCTTCTTTTAATAACCACCGTCACCGCTAACGCGATATTGGGAGCTCGAAGTGCCCGGGACGTTAGAGTCCGTGTGGCATGCGTTTCCGAAAGTGCCCCAAAGATGGTCATCAACGCAACTTGCAGTCGAGGAAGCAAAGCCCCAGAGTGTTAGACACTTCATCACACAAGATCAATGGCAGATCATTCGGGTCCAAGTGGAGTCTGACCGGAGTCCTGGTGGCGTGGTGATTGCGTGCTGGGCTGATAACTGCAAGGTCGGGGGTTCAAAACCACCAGCCCCTCCTCTGTCAAGCGTTGCAGTCCTACCCCGCCCTATAGGGTCCCTTTGAGTCGGCATCTGCTTTTGTTTATTTTCTAGAGAGCAGGCCAGGCAGCTCGGGGTTCCCTGTTGGCTTTCACAGTTTGGCCCCTGCGCTTGCTTCTTTCCAAGAGGAACTGATGCTTTTACTTTCGGTTTTGAGAAAAGAAAAGCTTCATCAGACTCAGGGAGGTTGTAAAACCCGTGATAAGAGTAATCCATGATGATGACCAAAGCGGTCAAGGACGCCATCGACCTAGACCGCTTCCTGGGTGCCCTGCCCAGAGGCAGTGCGCTGGGCCCGCCAAAGGTGGTGGTTTTCCCCCTCAGTCTTGAGGAAAAGATTTAAATATAAATTACTCATGAAGGGAGTCCTGCTGACAGAATGCTTACGTGGAGGTCAGCGGTTCGAAAACACCAGCCACTCCTCTGGGGAAAGATGGGCTTTCTACTCCTGTGAAGAGCTAGCCTTGCACAGTGGATGGATGGAAGGATGGATGGATGGATGGATGGATGGATGGATGGATGGATGGATGGATGGATTGTGATAAGAGCTGTATGAGTCCCCAATAAAATGATTGTAAAAACCTACTGATAATAGAAGAAATAAAAAATGAGGTAATAATAATTTTAAAAGTTCATCTTGGAAACTCACAGGGGCAATTCTCTCCTGTTGCTATGAGTCAGAATTGATTTAATAGCAGCGAGTGAGTTTTCATTTATAAAATAAAGCTTAACACATGCATTATCACCATGATCGAAGTTTCTTTTGATTTGATGTCATTTAAAAGAATAACCCAAAAATTTTTTAAAAATGTTTTTCAATGACCAATGCAAGATAGACCATTTCTGAAGGATACACAAGAAATCTCTGGTGGTGATGTTTTCCCTCCTGTCTGGTGTGTGGGTTCTGTTTGTTTTACCACAAGCAGACGTTTATCCATTAAACTTCAGACATAAACTTTCACTCTTGGTCCCTTGATCTAGTTTTAAGCTAAGCTAACCCGAGTGAACTACTCTGGCAATTTTCATTTGTGTTTCTCCCATGTTCCTCAGGTACTCCAAAGGTTCAGGTGTATTCCCGTCATCCGGCAGAGAATGGAAAGCCGAACTTCTTGAATTGCTATGTGTCTGGGTTTCATCCCCCGCAGATTACGGTTGATCTGTACAAGAACGGTCAGAAGATCACAGAGAAGGTAGAACGGTCAGACTTGGCCTTCAGCAATGACTGGTCGTTCTATCTCCTGGTCCACACTGAATTCATTCCTAATGGAAAAGATGAGTGGGCCTGCCGTGTGGAGCATGTGACTCTCAAGGAGCCCAAGATAGTGAAGTGGGGTGAGTTTTTTTCACATTCCTTCCTTAACAACTATCAGCTATATCTGAGTGTTGGTATGGCAAAAAGAAGCTGCTCTGATATTTTTGTAAACTGCATACTCAGGTGACCAGGAAAGGGTATTGGCATTCTGATTAGGAACCAATAACATCCCGTGACTTCAGTGTCCTCCTGCCCGTTGCTCTGCGGAGAGCCCTCTGCTAAGTGGTTCCTTTTCGGATCCCTGACCCAGTACTTTCCCTGCAGTGAGAACACTCCCAGGGTTCTTGCAGCCTGGCTCCTCCGGGCTTTCCTCACAGATGTGTTGCTATGTAAGGACTAAGGATGGCTTCAAGAGTATTTGTTTTTAAGCCCCAGGAGTCCTAGTGGGGTAGTAGCTTATTCGTTGGGCTGCTAACTTAAGGTGACCAGACGTCCCGCTTTTGAACAATTTTTTCCTGTGTCCCGCGGCATTTTTAAAAAGTCCAGATGTTTGGAAAGAATGCACGACAAGGTAGGGTATACGGATTTCGGCTGCCATGTGGCTGTTTCGCCAGAATATGAGTTTTATCAATGGTGCCCTGCTTTACCAATGTTAAAATCTGGTCACCTTATGCTAACTGCAAGTCAGCAGTTCAAACCCACCCCCCACTTCGCCTGAGAAATCTTTACTCCTGTAAAGATTTAGTCCCAGAAACACACAGGGACAGTTCCACCCCATCCTTTAGGATCCCTCTGAGTGAATCCGACTCGATGGCAATGGGTTGGGTTTTGGAGTCTAGCGCCCCGACAATCCTGGACTCCTCCAGTGCTCTCTGGCTGGATTGGGTCCCAGTGCATAGTTCAAAACAGTAGCCTACCTTGCCAGCCTTATTTAGACATCTAATACACAGTATTTTAAAAGTAAAACTGAGTTTATGTTTTGTTTCTTCTCCCCCGCCCCCCATTTCATTTTCATAGATCGAGACAACTAACCAGAATCACTGAGGTGAGTTTCCGACTGGGAGAAAAGCTTGTTTTGTTTTACTCTCCCGGGAACTAGAGACAGCTCTGACATGAGAACCCTTCTGTATTGGGGGGTGGGGGTGATGCGTTACTTGGGTTAGCATTTTAACAGGAAAGAAGGATCTGTGGGGCCCATCCCTTCTCCTTTGGAGGGGCCTGAACAAGGCATGTGTCCCCAGGGGTGGCCTTTCCAGCATCCTCTCAAGGGGGACAGAGGGGCTACGAGTGTGAAGTGGAAGGTCTGAGCAGACAGTTAACCTGCCAGGGTTTGATCTTTGGCCTGCCTTTTCCAGGCTGGACATTTCTGTTAAGAAGAGGGCCTTTAAAATGTTGTTGTCATTGTTGTTCTCTTCCCGTGCATAGCAGTTCCTTTATTTGTCAGGCAGAAGAGTGACATGGTTCTGCTGATGCCCCATTCCTCCCTTGTGCAATGTCTTGTGTCAGTGTGAGCACTGTGATGGCCCTCCGGAGGCTCTCAGCCCATGGGGAAAGGAGAGAAATGGAAACATTGTTAGAACTCTATGGACTGGTTTACGATATAATGTTTCAGCAAGTTCTAAAGGGTATGAAAAGATGAATTTGGGCTCTCTATCATCGGCAAAAGCCAACTTTTCAGTGAAATCCTCCAGAGTGCCTTGATGCTGAAAACCCGGTCCTATCGCCTATCTTACTCTTAAGACTGGGACATTAGTTTGAAAGCACAAAGAGGTACTGGGGTGACCTGCTCACTCACACAGCTACTGAAACTGTAGACCCACAGACCCCTAAAAACAGTATCTTTTCTCTTACGGTTGTGGGGCACCAATGGGATAAACGAATGGGATATGATTGTTTATCATTGGTCTGCAGCTCCTTCATTTATAAATGAGGAGTTATCTACAGCAAAATGTAGCTAGTCAAGTTTTGGTGGTGAGACCTGTACTCCAAATAGAAAAAAATGCATTCTTTGTTCATAAAACTTATTCTTTCTTTCTTTTCTTTTCTTTTTAGCATTTAAAGAGACCCCATTTGGATTGGACTAATTTCAGTTTTTTTCTTTATTTTTAAAAAACTATCCTCCTGCTTCATACGGTGATCATCTGTCTTTGGGAGCCCCACTCCCAGGTGTGGGGTGTGAGAAGGTAGCGCTAGAAGCCTGGCAGCATGGAGCTGGGGAAGAGAAAATTCAACACCAAGTTCCACATTAACCTCTTGGCCAAATCTGAACTCTTCTATTCTGCACTCAAAGCTTGGCAATAAGGCATTTCTGTGTATTCAGAATTAAACTCACATATGCATGCTCTGCTTAGAAAAAATGACCCAAATTTAGAAAAAATGGCCAGGATTTTAGAAATTTGTAATAGTGGTTGAGATGTATCACATAAAACTCATTTTCTGCAAGTAAAAATTGGCAGCGCATACTTTTATTTTGATCTTGTTTTACTAATAAAAAACTACTCAACCCGATGTGCTCATTTTTATCACGGTCACTCCCCCTCTTACCTTTTTGCTTTCAAACAGGGAAATCGTCGTTCATGTCACTTGGAGAAAAGTGCCGGCAGACCAGGATTCTGCCTTTTAGGCCGGCGGTCATTTTCTCTGGGCCAAGGCAGGAGTGTGCAGACTCCAAGGGAGAGCAAGCAAGTATCTGAAGGGTCAACAATTTCAGCAAGGGCAGAGGTGCAATGAAGCTAAATACATCCTGGTAAGATTCTAACATAGCCATGCCCAAAGAATAGCATGGTAGAAAAATGGGTTCGTATAGTAACAACAGAAAAGCTTATATACATATACATATATACATACACATATACATGGCCAAGGCTAGGAACTATTGAACTAGATCATAGGAAATGTCTATAACATTTAACAGTTGTTTTATGAAATGCTGCTTCGTCGCATAGTTTAGGCCCCTTTCAGGAGAGCCTGAGCAAATACCGGAGCTAAATTAAGCCAATCACTGCACTCTTCAAACTAAAATCTCTGTGCTAGTAATCAAAAAGAATGTATTCTATACGAGAAGGCTGTGGGGGAAATTCTATTCTCTTTCCATTCCATTTTCACACCAACTTTTTGAAGCACCCCTCACATACTGACATGGAAGAACACTGCTGAAACAAAGTCACTTTCTGGAAAATAACCCATTCAGAAACCTGTAAGAGGGTGCAGTATATATGTACTGGTACCACACACAAACTAGCAAGGAGTGAAAAAACAGAATAGGGTGATCAGTAATTTGATGCAGGTCCTAGAACTGCAGAGACAGCTGGGAGGAGCACACACATGATCTGACTAGAAGCAAAGACGGTAGGGAAAAGCTGGACAGTCCCAGGCCCCGTGTCAGGGAGTTCACCAAGGCCAACCGGGAACATGAAACTTGAGAAGAGTTCAAAGATAAGCAGAAATGCAAAATGAGAATTGAGCGGTTTTCACCTAGAACTGCTCTGTTGCCTTAAGGAGCTGCAAAGAAAAATGAGATGAAAATGTGCCTGTAATTGGTGACTTTTGAATAAGCATGGTGATAAAATCTTGACAGCTCTCACAATCATCCTGTTTACCCTCAACCCCCCCACCTTGGGCTTTCAGAGCATCAGCATTTCCCTAGTTTCGGCATTCCAGGGGCTGCTAACAGGTGTTACTTCATATCTCACGTAGACATAGAGACCTATGTATCTCACAGATACTGGAGCCCTGATGACATAGTAGTCACACGTGGTGCTGCTAACCACAAACCAGCCATTTGAAATCACTGGCACCTCCACAAAAGGAGGAAACTTTTTACTATTGTAAAGAGTTACAGTTTCAGATACCCACAGGGGCAGGTCTACCCTGCCCTATAGAGTCACTGAGTTAGAATCAACTTGATGGCAGTGAGTTTGGTGTGTGTGTGTGTGTAAAGCAAACTTTATTAATCTTTTTACTTAAAGATTTTTTTGTTCACAACTTCTCCAACCAGACACCTCCCCACCACCCCACCAACCAGGAAAAGGACCAGAAGTATATACAACAAACCTTTAACAATGTACGCCTTGGGGGAGGGGGGTAAAATGCCAAGAGACAGATGAGGGTAAACTTTCCATTTCTATATGATTTTAACCTTAACAATAGACATATATTTACAGTTTACTTTTGTATAGATTTTCTATTGCAGCTCTAACAAATTTAATTACCACACATTTAATAGCTTAAAACAAGACAAATATGTTATCTTACAGCTCTGTAAGTTAGAAGTGAGACACAGGCTGAAATCAAGGCATCGAGGGGGTTGTACTCCATTCTCAAAACATTTGCTTTCTACTTTAGCCCTTGGTATCAGCTCTTCATTTTTCCCCCTCCCTCACAAACTCTTGATAAGTTATAAATTATTATTACTTTGTCATCTTTTACACTGTCCCATGTCTCCCTTCACCCACTTTTCTGTTGTCCTTCCCCTAGGGAGGGTGTTATATGTAGATCCTTGTGATCGGTTCCCCCTTTCTCCCACACCCTTCCTCCACCCTCCTGTTTATCACCACTCTCACCGCTAGTCCTGAAGGGATCATCTGTCCTGGATTCCCTGTGTTTCCAGTTCCTATCTGTACCAGTGTACATCCTCTGGTCTAGCTGGATTTGTAAGGTAGAATTGGGATCATGATAGTGGGAGGGGAGGAAGCATTTAGGAACTAGAGGAAAGTTGTAGGCTGTACTGCATCCTGACTGGCTCCTCTCCTCCCCAGGACCCTTCTGTCATAGCATGTCCAATTGTCTACAGATGGGCTTTGGGTCTTCATTCTGCACGCCCCCTCATTCACCTTGATATGATTTTTTTTGTTCTGGGTCTTTAATGCCTGATACCTGATCCCATCGACACCTCGTGATCACACAGGCTGGTGTGCTTCTTCCATGTGGACTTTGTTGCTTCTCTTTGGCAAGTATTTTATCTCAATCTCCTTATCTATAAAATGAGAATAATGCCTATCTTTTTGGTTCTGTGGTTGAATCTCAAACTTTAATGTACATATAGATGAGCTGGAATCTTGTTAAAACGCAGCTTCTGTTGCCAAGTCTAGGGAGGAGACTGAGAGCCTGTATTTCTTATGTCCTTGCTGCTAAGTCCAGTAGCACACTTCAAATAAGTAGCAAGAAATTAGATATACAACGTTTGCAAAACCTGACACTAATGTCCTATTCAGGGTGAACGCCTACCTTCTCCAGGGAACCAGATTTTCTATGCAGATGAGCCCATCTCTCACAAAGCTGCGGCACACTAGGTTTCTTCTGCTGAATTTTTCCACTTGAATTTCTTCTTTTTTTTAATGTGGCATATACAGTTTTATTTTATTTTTAATTTATTATTAATTGGGATTTAATACATATATCATATCATCCCGCAGTTCAATCACATCAAATAGAATTGTACAAGTGCTAACACATCAGCTTCCAGACATTCTTTTTCTGTACGGACTCCTTGACAACGACTTTCTTTTTTTAATAGTTTTATTTAAATAATCCACATATTATACAATTCAAACGTTCAATCATATCAAGAAGAGTTAGTTGTACAATCATTGCCACAATTTTCGACCAGTTTCTTCTTTCTTGCGTGCACTGTTATTAGCTTCTTACACTTGGATTTATTCCATACTCTCCCCGCTTAGCCTCCCTTCTCCCCATTTCCACTCTTTTCTTCTTCTCGAGGGGGTATAATAGCAACACGAAGCCTCTGCACTTTTAACAGTTATAATTTTGAGTCCATGCTCTTTTGCTTTATTTATTTACAATCCAGGGGTTTAAATCCATGATCACAGTCAAGTTTAGAACATTCTTTTCAGCCTTTTACATCGTTATTATTAGCTCTTCATCACTCCCAAGCCAACGCTGCCATAACTCTAAGAAACAATGAGTCTAGTCACCGGGGATTCCCTGTCATGGATTTCATCCATTGCTTTACAAGAAGAAATACATATAGGCAGAAAGAGACAAAATAAAACAAAAATCACCTGTGAATCCCAACTCTCTAGGAAGAAATCTTTAGCTCACTTTTCATTTTCTGGTGGGTAGTTTTTTTGTTTATTTTTTTAATTTTAAGTCATTTATTTTATTTTGCTGTTTTATATAAGCAATCTCTCATTAAACCAACCACAAATCCATCTTTATATTTTAAGCAATGTCATATACACAGCTGCATTGAAACATGGTTATCAAACATTTCTTCATTTAATGCTATGCTGAAAAAATGGTAACTGAGGGGTAGTTTGTCAGGAGATTTTTGTGGTACATATACCCACGTTTTATTATTTTTAGAAGGCTACTTTTATTATTACAGAAATCACTTCAGAAATAATTCCGTTTTTTCACTGTCTAATGATAATTTTGTAATGATCTTTTTTTCACGATCTAAACATGATTGTGCGGTGGTGCAGGCCCCATTGTACATAGTGTCGCTAAGACTCAGTGCTGACTCAGTGACACCTGCATGAAAAATGCCATCAATGAAAGTAATTCTGAGAACTGGGAAATGTTGCCCTTTCTTATCGACAACCAGGTTTGCAGTATATATGGGCTGTTGCTCTTAGTTGTCTTTCTCATATTATAAAAGCCAAGGTTTTAAAATATAGATATAATTAGTCTTGCCTCTCCCCAGACTCTAGATTTTGAGAGAGAGAGAGAGAAAATTGAAGACAAACATTTCGGGTCACAGGTATCCTAAAAGGTCAAATAAACTATCTATGAAAATCCCTGGAGAATCCAGGGCGGATGATCCCTACAGGACCAGTGGTGTGAGTGGCAATACTGGGAGGGTAGAGGGAGAGTGGGTTGGAAAGAGGGAACCGATTACAAGGATCTACATGTGACCTCCTCCCTGA